CCTCACTGGTCAGTGCATGGAGGTGCTGCATTTGACACAATTGCCACCTCAATGAAGGTATTGCCTTCCTTACAGGAGGGGGTCCCGGACTCTGCTGTGACGCCATCCCATAAGCCCCAAACAAAGGGCATCACATCATTTCAGGACAGGCTTTTATTAGAGCCTCCCATTGATCACAAGAGCTCCACACTCCAGTCTGGAGTGCTCATCTCCTGTTTCTAACCAAAATCCATTCCATCAAATAATCTTTTAAAATAAAAGACCTGACATACACTTTGCGCAGACTGCCCCCTACCCCATGACCAGAGCATCATGGGACTCTCCAGGACCTTATCCTGGATAACCTGCAGAAGATGGATGAATGGACTGATACCTAATGAATGATGCACTGAGTATAAAATAAAGCATGAACTATAAAGCATGTATATTTAAATGCAGCAGGAAATATATAAACACCTCCTGGACTATCAATCACAACGCCCACTTTCAGACATCCTTAAAATGTCTCTTTCGAGTAAGCATAATGAATAATTCACATCACAGACAGGCTCAGGGACATAAGTACTCGGTAAGCAGAGACCTGCCTGTACTTGGATTATAAATCGTTTGATTTAAAACCTCCAGCCTAATAGTAATAATAAAATGAATTAGATCATGTCAACTGTAATACAGTATGGCATTTGGAAAGGATTAATTTTGAAAGATAAACGGGTGCATTGATGTTTTGGCTGAGTTTTGCATTCGTTGGCCTTTTTTGTGTTTTCTTTCTGTTTTTAAGATAGAACTTTATCTTTAAAAACATGTGTATGCTCCTATACCCATCTCTATATAATCATTTATTTAAATATTCTGCTTAGCAAAACATCAGGGCTATTCCTATCTTCCATGCCTACAGGGATGTGAGTTCAGCATTTCAATGTACTTTGTGGTGTTTAAACCGATGTGGGCAGATGTGGACCTTGTTGTAACAGGAGTTAAAAAAAATAATAATAATGGTGGAAAGAAAAATCTTCACCGAACAACGACCCTAGGGCTTTGGCCAGCTATGAACCGTGTAAAGCACTGCATTTATTTCAATTTAACCTGTATGGAAAAACATAATAGCAAAAGTTTGAAACTGGACAGCTTACATGGGTGACTAAATTAACTCATACAGCTTCTGATGTTTACTTTAAAGACATAATATGCTTCCATGAATAAACGTAATACAATTATTGCATGTTTTCCTCCTTCTTGTACCTGCTATCCTTTCAGATGGAGAAAAAAATATCTTGGGCTGGAATTAGAGGCATTAGGAGTCAGTATAGAAAAAGAAAAACAGCAGATTTTCAGACCGACCTCATAGCTGGGCCTCCATTTGGCAGCCATACAGCCCACACTGAACATCACAGAAGACAGTGCCTGTTTCCTCCGAGACGATATGCAGATCAAGCCGACAGCCGTGTGCTAATCGGGCTGAAATCTTTAAAAGTTGACTCGGTAAAAATAAGCGTGTTTATCTGACTGGGGATAAAAGAGAATGGCATATGGGTGTTCATTTGCAGAAATAAACAAACGGCAACTTTGCTCAGGATTGCTGAGAATTTTCCTCCTCCACAATAAAGTCAAACCACACTCGTGATAAAGAAAAGCTCCACTTCGATGGTAAAAACAAAAAAATCGGAGCAGTTTAGAATGTTGTTGAAGTAACATGATTCATTTTAAAGAGTGAACCGTAGACCTGCCATCAAGATCTTCAAAAATCTTATTCCAGTCCTATATTCTGACTGCAGTGATTCTTGACAAACTCGGGTGTTTTAAACAGGACTGAGTGAAACCTTTAGCACCTCATCTTTGCTGGCTTTTGTAAAAATGTGATTTGAGCCACATACCATTTCCATTTCCTGCAGCCTGATTCTTCCACCACAGAAAGGTTAACCGCGAAGGTGTCGGAGAGCAGTTTTTGGAGAAACAGTAACCAGTACAGCATCTTCTGCGTCCACGCAGCCCAGAAATAACTGTCATTCCAGATTCAGTTTCTTAAATGCAAATGCACAGGGTGTGTGAAATATCCTTAAAAGTGCTGTCACAAACAGGAATTAATCACCAAACGATCTGGGATCTCGGTGGGTAGGGGGGGGGGGGCACTTCAGCAATATTTTTTCACATCTTTTCTTTCTGACACAACTCAAGGAAGAACTTGTATTGTGACGACTCACATTTGCACATTTCCTGACAAGAAAGGCACTTTCTTTGCTGCAAGACCACCCCCCCCCCACACACACACACACACACACACACAGACCTTAGGTTTACACCTGAATCAACCCACATTGTCACTAAAAACAGTTAATTCCTATTGGAATGGCCTATTTTTGCATAGTTGGCTGACGCTTTGTAGGGTGGTGTATTTTACGCATTTAAAGCATGTTAGCTATTCATTACGGAACAAAAACTATTTTTTGCTTGTTCATTATTGTTCTGTCTCATTTTTTTTTCTCCCGTGGAGGTCAATGGTTTTCTGGAAGCACAAAATAATCAGTAATAATCGTTGAGCCAATTGCACAGAAACTTGATTCATATAATGGATAGTTTTCGTTTTACGTGTTACTTATATGGAAGTTTTTGTTTGTTTCCCTTCACAGCATAGTAGCTCTGTAGGTTTCTCTCTGCCAGGGTTGAGGGTTTGAGTGCCGTACTGGAATGTGTGTGTGGAGTTAGCATGCCCTCCTGTCAGGATCGGTCCCTGTCTTCTCCTATTAAATCTATTGTTTCTCTGCTTGGCCAGCAGGTGTCACTGGCCATCCTGTTCTTTCCTATGTTTAGTACCTGTCACAGTGCCTGGTGTCTTCCCCTGTTCCCTGGGCCATTGCATAGCTGAATGGGCTGTGCTCTTCTAACGTTATGAGTTCAAGGCTGGCCATGCTGGCCATTTTGAGTTTTGTTTCCCCTTTATTAATTATGTTGTGCTAATCTTATTCAGCATTGGTCCTTTCTCGCGTTTTAGTTCCTGGTTGCCCCTGTTTCTTCAGTATTAGTATTTTCTGGTATTTGAGTCTTTAGTGTCTTATGATTGTTAATGACCCTCACCTGTTCCTTGTTGCCCCTTAGCCATAGTGTCTGACTAACTGGCTACAGCTCACACCTGCCCCTTTTCAGACCTTGTCATCTCTGTAAATGTCATGCCTGTCCACACCCTTTTTCTCAGCCGGTTATTGCATTGACTTCCGTTTCTTGACTGCACCTCAGTCTCCCGCTTGCTCCCAGATGTCGTGGCTGCTGTTAGTGTTGTAGATGTTTCTTCTGCATGTCCCTGCATGTAGGTATAGCCCCTATCTGTAGCCCATCTCCTGTGTTTCACTCCTTTGGGGTCCCTTCTGTTTCTTGCTGCTGTTTCTATTCGCTAAAGTTTCCTCATTTTCTATAAGCTGCTCTGTGGATCGCCACACCTTCACCGTGCCCAGCTATAGCACCTCCTGTGTTATACACGATTCCAGTTCCTCTAGTTTCCTTTTGCCATCCAAATATGTGAATTTAGACTGACTGGCACCTCTAAGTTGTTCTGAGTGTGTGTGTCTATATGCCCTGTGATGGATGGATATCCCCTCCAGGCTGGACCGCATCATTGTGCCCAATGCTGCCTGGGATAGACTCCAGGTCCCGCTAAACCTGTCCACAGGAGGCAGATGGATAGATTTTCCCACCTTGTATCCAAATGGTTTTCTAACACAAACAGCTCAAGTTCATCCACAATACAGGTATAGAGGGAGACAAATGTATTATGAATGGAAAGGAGACGGCATTTGTATATAATGCATAAAAAAATGCAATTATCTCTGAAATGAAACCCATTTGTCAGAGGAGTTTACAGTTGTTTTAATTTTTGTCCCACTTTATAAATACTGACTTTTGCGATGAGTCCTGGGTTTATAATATCTCTGCAATCTCATTAGAGTCAAGAAGAAGAGCTCTGCTGTAATTTTATATACCCATTCTCGCAGCCATGCGCATATGCCTGTGTACGTCCTAGGTCAGCCTTGGGCGATTATTTTCTGTTGAGGGCCAAATCTGACCTTCACCTTGTCGGCGGGGGCCACTATTTAATGGTTCATTTCACTTCCCATGAAAGCTACACTGAAAGATGTGTGTTAGATTTTACTTTTACAAAAACATGCAGAAATCAATAGGACTACTGCATTTTCATGTTTAATTTTATTGCTATTTCAAAGGCAGATTTAGGGTCAAAACTCGTTCATCTTCATAGATTCGAACATAAAAGCGTACATGTTTTTTGCATGTGCCGGTAAATACAGCCCTGTGGGCTGACTTTGGCTTGTGTCGGTCCAGAACAGTTACCCAGCCAAAACGTAATTTGTGGCAGGCAGGCAGGCAGGCCCTACACTGATCCTCCAAACTTAATGGAAATATCGGTGGGGCATTTCCAGTAACTGGCCACAATGTTTAAAGAGCAGTTTGGTTTAATTATAAGCAACACATTAAACGTCGGAAAGCACGGCACTGAAGGTAAAACTTCAGAAAAGATGCTCTAATCTTAGTCAGTACAACACCGTTTCTCTCTGTTAACAGCGAACTGTGTGACTGATTAGTCCACCAAAAAAAAACACATTAGTCCAGGCATGTCTTGGCAAACACCCAAATGTGCAAAACATTACAATGTCAGGTTATAAAATGAAACCAACATCCATCCATCAATCTGTGGGGGCCTAGTGAGCCTGGAGCCCATCCCAGGAAGCACAAGGCAGGGGCCACTCTGGAGATGGTTCTAGTCTATTACAGGGCTCAGTAAGTCAGGCTGCTGTAGGCAGAAGGTTGCTGGTTCAAATCCCGCCATTGGCAGAGTGATTTCACCATTGGGCCCATGAAGCTTCCCCTTAACCCTTATCGCTCCAGGGACTGTCTGGCCCTGCTTTCTCAAATATATGTCGCTTTAAGTAAAAGCATCTGCTAAATAAATAAATGTACAATGTAAATGAGCAATTCAAAGACATCAGTTCACTTACCCATCTATTTGGATTGCAGAAATCACAGAGCAGGAATGATAGCCGCAACCCTGAGGATATCTGGCAATAGTATTGACCACTGAGCCTCTGCTGTTAAAAAGTCCAGCTGTAAGAATAAATTAAAAATGAAAGTGCCTTAATTACCAACACTAGTTAACTGGATGCCTGTAGTCCAGACAAGCAGGTGAACAAATATCAGCCTTTGACAGCAAACATGTTACTGTTACAGAAGATTTTTTTCCCCAATTGCACCATCATGCATTATGAATTATGGCATAGTCAAGAATCAATATTTTTAGATGTTAACAAAAAAAAATCAATGTACATTACTTTTTATTTTAGCTTTTTAATCTTTATTCAGAAGGAACTGGTCAGGTATGAACTATATACAGTCATCTACAAGAACAAAAATGGAAGTATTCAAATATTTAGTTATGGTACATGCAAAAGACAGTCAATATCATAAAACAGCATTCCTGTCACCAGTTTTTGGAACAAATTAATTTTTCACAAGTCTGATTATTTCCTTTTGACAACAGGTGCTGTATCATGCGAAATGTTCTAATTGCATCCAGTTGTTTTGATTTTTTTAATAAAAATTTCTTTCTTTGATTTCTGCAGTATGTGCAAAGTGCCGGGTGCAGCTGCACACCCGACTAGGCTAACCAATCATCAATCAGCACCCCCCACCCCAAGACCGATGACAGACATCTTCTGCCTGAACTTGAATTGAATTGAATCGAATTGAATTCAGGGTAAGGAATCTTTGATAAAATCATCTAAGAAAATAAATGTTGGCAAAGAAAAATAAACACACTATTTCTACCTCATTCTGCTAATATTCTGTCAATCCAATAAGCTGTTAAATAGACTTATGAACATACACAGTTCCTCAAAACTGAAAAATCTACATAACAAAAGACAGACTAGCTGCTTCGACTTACAGAATAGTCATATTCGTATATTATGGGCTAGAAGGACAGTTGAAACTGAAGCCTCGTATCGTAAGTAATGCGTTGAGTGCTCAGCCACATTTTCCAGTGAAATAGATTTTGTTCACTGCAGCCTGCTGCGGTGGGTCTGTCGTATTGTCATGACAAACACCGGCCTGCAGGTGGCAGTGTTAATCTGCAGAAACCAAAAGACCGTCAATAGGCAACGCTATATATCGGTTTCAGTTCCATCAGTACTTTAATAAACTTTAAAAAAAAAAAAATATATATATATAGGGTATATGAAGTATTGAAAGCAAATTTCACCTGAATATTTATCGTTCACAGTGGACAAGTAATAGCTGCATGCATTTTATACTGGTATGCGAACAGATAAATTTTGATAGTTCATGAAAGGATTGCTTTATCTCCTACCTTTTTGGTGGTGTTCTCGGTAAATTAATTAGACTACAGAATAAAATTAAGTGCTTAATAATTCTTATTTCGTATGACCATACTTTAAGGTTTTGGCTAAAGTAGCACTATCCTAAAGACACTTTCTGGTGAGGAATTCAGATGAATTCGGAATGATGTATGCAAATATGGAGGGGAAATTCAAAAATAAGGGACAAACAAATTACAGAGCAATGCCGCTTACCCCTGCTGTTTCCTGCGTTTTTATCTGCAAAAGACGTGACGCGAGTTATGAGGCTTATTTTTAAATGAGACTCGGGCTCTTTCGTCTCAAGTCTCACTATGCTGCAGCAGCACGGCAGCATGGCGGTTGCTTACAGATTTAAAAATTAATTAGCGTAACACGAAACGTCTTATCAAAGTCGAAAATGATGGTTCACATGAAAGGCATCCCAAGGCAAGGTACCGCGCAGCGCGGCTCGCCTATGGATGCATCCTGAATGTAAACGGCGGCTGGCCCGCCCGCAGCGACCTTATGATTTATGTCACTTCCATAACAATACCGCCCCCGATCCCCAGTACCCAAAATAAATAATCAAAATAATAAATATAGGCTATAGATGGGCATATATAGGTGTCTTTGCCTAATAGGCAAGCGCATGCTGGAATATTTACAGCGGTTCGTATGAAAAGCGTATCTCGTCTACTGTTTATAACACCAGTCAGCTGCCGGCTTTATTCCGCTTTGATAAGCAACAGACTTTTTTCTTTTCTTTTTTCCCTTCTTTTTCTGAAAATTTGGCGAGTGGGGACATCGCAGTAGAGTCTGGGCGGAGTGGTTACTCCTGAAAACTCCGACATGTCCAGCTGCTGTGTGTAATCCCACGGGGAGCTTAAGCGGCACTTACAAATGGGGAGGGTTATCGGGGTGCCTTTCCGGAGCCAGTTTTCCCACTTTTGCGCGTTTCCTTTTTTACTAAATCTGGGGGAAAATGTTTATCTATGTCAGAAGAGCAGGTCAACCCTGCCAAGGACTAAACCTTCAACGCCGCACCGGGCTGCAGCGTCCGTGCACCGACGGAAACCAGCCCCAGAAATTCTTGTTTGTCGGATTTCGAGGTATTCAAGGATCAGTAAGCAAATAGAAAGGAATAGTGCATATCGACGGACCCAAGTCCAAAACGCTTTATTTATCATATATTCATAGAAACTACCAACATTGCCTGCTTGCCAATATTCACAATACCAAAGGACTGACCTGCGTTTTGCTAATGCAGTTTTGCTTAGGAAAAGGACAGACATTCAGACCTGTTCTGCCTTTGTTTTAAATCAATGACTTAATGGCTACAATTCACTGCTGCACAGTCCTTTTGAGTCCATTAGTAATATCAATGTATGATGTGCTGAATTTCCGGGGGGGGGGGGGGCGCGATGACACCATGTGAAAAAGACTTTGACTTTGAAGTTACTAAATCTGATTACAAATGTAGCTACAAAGGTAAGTCAAATGAGGCTGAATCCCAATTAGCAGTTTGTCTATAAAAGAGGTTGGACAATCAGCACTTTCATATGAAGTGTTGGGGGGGGAAGTTACAAATGTACAGGTGGAATTACAGACAGGTGGAAAGTTCAGGTCCAGAGAGTACACATCTAGACCAAGGCTTTGTTTTAAGCAGCTAGTTGAGTACTCTGACTGTGACTTTTTATACTCAACCGGTTGGTTGAAACAAAACCTTGATCTGGATTTGTACTTTCTGTACCTGAATTTCTCACCTGTCATTAATGGAGGTGTTTGGTGATGAGGCCTGAGGTTCAATATTAAGTGTTGATGATGTGGCATGAACAGTGTTCGAATAGGAAAACTTTGACTGAAATGTATTGAAGTCAATGGGAGAGAACGAGTGATGAAAGACGAGTGCGGGTTACTTCCCCGACACTGTTCATATGTGAGTTTTCACAGCAACATGAGGCAGCTGATGGTGTTTGAATAAGGCAGAGAGCCGTGCCTGAATTTCCAGTCCATCAGTCACAAAAAGTGCTAAATTATTTCATGTGTCATGGGGAACAATCTCAAAATCCATGCCTGCTTGTGCCAAAAACATTTTAACTGTATTAGCAAAGCAGTACAGTGTTCAGAAATGAAAAGTGACCAATAGGGATTTAAGTACCCTGAATGGGATAGTTATTCAACACAACAAAAGTGATGGAGAGCTGGAATTTATGGCAGGACTGCTGTTTGGAAACTGCTTGTATCCAAGGCTAAAGCGCAAAGACACAAAACATAATGCAAGGTGTACAAAATGAGGACCCATGAGTAATGGAAAAAAAAAAAAAGTCTTACAATCTGATGAGTCACCTTCCATCCTTTTTCTGTATCTGTGCTGGTTTCTGTTTTAAAGGAAGCCATGGGATACCTGAAGCCATCTCCGTAGGGCCGTTAGGTCCAGCGATTGCTCTGCTTGATTCTGCAATGGTTACAGAAAGTGATGTTATTTAATAGGACCAGGTAACACCCTATGGTGGAAATGTGGTTCCCTCTTGATGCTCCCAGATCCCAGATGATAATGTCCCCTTTCGATCAGCTGAATGGCTTCAAAAGTGGTTTCACGAACACAAGGTTGAATTCAGTTTCAAACCTTCCATGGCTTCTAGTAAAGATTACTGAACCTTTACGGGAAGCTGTGAAGTAGACGTTCATTTCCACCTCCTTCATCACTCAAAGAACCAGAGGCTTTTCTTCATGAAAAATGGTCCTGTATCCCACTATGAACAGATCGAGACTTGGATGACATCATTCCAAGCAGGATTAAAGATACTCTGAAGGCAAAGACCCCTTTATATCCCTTTTGTCCACTGGCTGTAAATTATAAATATATGATACAATACTTATATGTGTTTTTCATTTCACTATTCTTAACCACAAGGATTACACCGACTCCTTCTGAAAAACAATGACTCTTCTGTGAGTTAGATGCAAATGTATGACCACATTTTATATTTGTATAGTATACAGCTGCTACACATACACAGTGAGTGTTGAGCATTTTACATCTAGAACTACAAATCCAGACCAAGGTTTTGTTTCTACCAACCAACTGAGTACTCCGTGATTGTGACTCTACACTCAAAAATCTTCATCTGGATCTGTAGCTTCTGGACCTGAAATGCCCAACACTGTACACAGTGTACAGAACTTCTGGAGGCAGCTGGTGTTGGACTTAGAGGTGAAGGGAGGGTTTTTATGCATGAAAAACAGGGGAGTTCGTACAGTGCGCTTGTAGGTGTTGGTTGGGGGAAGACAGACATGGGCGCTAGCGGGGAGTGCTATATAAAGATGTCACTGTTATCTTCGGAGACCTTTTGAACTGACATCTGGGGAGCAATTTGCTCACACTGCCCATCAGCTGGCTGAAAAGAGAGAGAGGGAGATAAAAGGCAGCTTCCCATAGCCCTGCCTGCGCGAGCAAGGGACTTCGAATCAGAAGTCGATACCAACTTCGCTTCAAAACACTAACGGCGGAGGAGTTAGACGAGGGGAAATGCTGGCGACTGTGTGGTGCTGAAAAGCAGATGTGGATCCTCCCCCCCGATTTTCTGAGGAGAGCAGTTTTTAGCAAATTAGTCATTCGGTGTGCACGTAAACTCTTGGGACTCAGCAGTTGTGTTCTTGCAGCTAAACATATGTTATAAATACACATTATTAGTAAAAGAATACTTCTTGTCTAATCATAATGTGTGGGATTGTTTTATAGAATAAACACCTGTTGTGTAACTGAATACCATTTATTCTTTTTTTTTTTTTACTTTAAAACCTGGAGAGAAAAATAGGTCACGCAGCTGCTGGCTGTTAAGTCCATAGATGACAGATGGGGGCGCTGTTGAGGGTCCTCATTCTGGCTCTTAAGGGATTTCAGAAGTGCCCTGTTGTCCATGCAAAAGTAGCAGGGTAGGCTGTTTGAATTCGGCGTTGGAAGCGCTCAAGAAATTGTGGGACACTCCCTGACTAATGACTTACACTGATTGGATGTTTTTTTTTTTTCTATTTCCAATTAAAGTGACTAGACACATTCAACATGACAATAAATGCAGGGGAGTGTGTACAAACTGATTGGACTTTTTTAAGCAGTGGGAGATGAAGTGACACCTTCAGACATTTTTCTTGCACATGAAGATAAAATTTGTCTTTAAAAAATCATTACAAAATCTTTTAGATTAGATTATTTCCTTCTTATTAAATCAATGGTATGATGCTTGCAGTTCCTGGATATTTTGGATTACACAAGCGTTGTTTGTCTTTGACCTCTTCATCATAGTCTATCCCTTGATAATCAATAATTTTGATGCACGGCGGTTAAAACGGGCCTCTGGTCTCATTTTGGTGATGAATCTCGCAAGTTGTACGGCAACAGCTCATCAAGAGCCGTCACTGACGACTGCAGTGCTGCCCCCCCCAAAAAACCTACAATCACAACCATTCATCACTGTTTGGGCCGCAGGTTCCCGCCCCCCTCCCCGTTTGATTGGCAGGGACATTAGCTGGATGGATCTGGTTGAAGGAAAGGCCTGGGTGGGATTGGCTCACAGTGGGCTCCCATGGAAGCTACCTGAGCTGAAACATCCTGCAGATGCAGACTCAGTGAATCATGGCTACATTCAGGCGGCTCGCTGTGTGTGCGGCAGCTGCTCTGTTCTCCTGGTTAACAAGCAAATCTGGCATTTGAAATTCAATTTGACTTAGAAAATTAAGCCAGTGAGACACTACGACAAAACAATAATACCAGAAAACAAAAGAATCGTGCCATGTGTCTATGTTGTTCCCATTTCTTCTATTCTGTCCAATTCTTGACAATTTAAAGGCTCACTGAAATACACCGTCGTATTTATTTAAAAATTCCTACTTTTTAAAATCTCAAATCAACTTATGCTATGCAAAGAGTGCCGGACTGAAAAACGGGAAGCAGGTATTTTTTAGAGTATTTTTAGAGACAAGACTTACACTGCAGTACCTGAACATTTCAACGCTAGACCCTCATTTAGATAGCGTGAACACAATCCGTCTCGTTTGTCACACCTAGTCAATTCATTTAAACTATTTAAAAACCTGTTTATATTTGGGATTTACCCCCCCAGCTGTTAATAAATCCTATTTTTAGTATATTAGTTTTCATGACAAAATGGTTTTACCTATTGGCATTTTCAAACAATGCTTCCTCAATTTCAATGCATATATGAAAAGGTTAGCCAGCAATCAGTGTTTACTTGCTGCCATTTTTTGAGTGGGATGGGGGGGGGCATTTAATATTGCGAAAAGCACGGGATCCTCCAGGTGTACACAGCATGTTTTTATTCATGAAACCTTTCAGGTGTACCTACAGTGTGTAACTACACTACAGGCTAATATTCATGCAGATTCTCTCTGTGTCTTGGACGGTAACTGATGGTAAATCCGATGGTGTGTGTAATTTCAATGATTTCCCCTTATTTGTGCAGGTTTTCTCTGAGCAGTCCAACAACACAAGGTTAGATTAACTGGCGTTCCTAAATTGTTTATAGTGTCTCACTGTGAATATGAATGGATGCCCTACGATAGAAAGGCATTCCATCTTGGGTATCACCTACCTTGTCCCTATGCATGCTGGGATAGTTTCACAGTGACCCTGTACTGAATAAGTGATATGATGAAACACCATGTGTAATCGTCAAATCTTGCAGACAAGGTAGCTTACCAACCCTCCATAATTTGCAAATGGTCTTTGGTATTTCTTAAAACTGATGTGCATTTCAAACATTTGCATTTTAAATACTTTTTGTGGCGTTCAGTTCATAGCCATACCCCTAGTCTGTCTCGAGCTAAGAACGGCTCTTTCATCTGGATTCAGAACCATGGAAATTATGCTTCTGAACCAATAATTTTAGGCCCTGAATTGTTACAAAAACCTAAATAAGAAAAAGGATTGAATGCCATTTGTATTTTGAACAAAAGAGACAGAATACCACCTCAAAAAGTAAATATCACAGACATGGTGTTATTGAATTGTGAACTGCCAAATATCCTTAATTGTAATTTATTTCTGTGAATTTTCTGCTAAGAATTGTACCCAAAACAAATTATAGACATTCAGCCATAAATACAGTGAAACTGTATAAATCATAGAAGCAATTCAGCCAAGTAACAAGGTGTGAGTCAACTAAACATCAGGTTTAGAAGATTGACTTGTAGGCCATTACAGTCTAAATGGCTATCTATCTATCTATCTATCTATCTATCTATCTATCTATCTATCCATCCATCCATCCATCCATCCATCCATCCATCCATCCATCCATCCATCCATCCATCCATCCATCCATCCATCCATCCATCCATCCATNCCATCCATCCATCCATCCATCCATCCATCCATCCATCCATCCATCCATCCATCCATCCATCCATCCATCCATCCATCCATCCATCCATCTATCTATCTATCTATCTATCAAGTATTTCATCAATTAAACTGCTTTTCCTTAGTCAAATGTACCACACCGACATGAAAAAAATGGAAGCTTTTAAAATGCTCAAGTAACACCATACAACGATAAATGGTATTTTAAAAGTGAAAAGTCACCAAGAAGCATGGCGGAAGATCAGCTCGGCCTCTGAATGGAAGCCCATCTGATACGTCACCTCCTGCATACGCCCTGTTCAAGAAAGTGTGCTGATTGGCAACTTGATGCATCCTTTATGGTTAATAAGATCAAATAAGAATCACCCAAATGCACAATCGCACTTTAACGAGCCAAAAAGCAACAGCCTTTACTGGAGGTTACTCATTAAAGGCGGCCTCTTTAACTTCCAAGTGTACCAAAAACATATAATATGCAAGTACCCGGTAGATATATATGAACATATATGAACATCATTCAAGCCTGTCAAGGTGTAAACCTTGAAGAGTACACTACGTTGCATCTTATGTGACATATAACTTTTAAGTTTTCATTGTACCTTATCAGGTAATTATAGTAATTGCACAATTTTGGAGCAGGATGTTGCTGACAGACTTTCCCGATTTAAAGGCCTGGTGTTACACCTTGTGAGTCTACGGAGGACTAAACCCATCATTATGTAAACTTAACACAGCGCTGAGCTCTAATACCAGCTGGCAAGTACAGAGAGGTAAGGACCCCAATAATTACTGGTGCGTCCCTGGGGGGTGTTCCAGGTTGTCTCATATATGGAAAACAAACATCAATAATAATCAAGCTAAGTAACTTGAAAGGGATTTTTCAGGTCATAATATCTGGGGTTAGACTAAAAGACATGGATTGAAATTAGGCCTGAAACCAATAACATTCATTGACTTTACCTCTCCTAGTGAGGGTCAGAGGGAACAAGATGAATGAACGACAGTCACTTTCTTCTGCTACAATGTTCTCCTACCTGGAAGCATGACTGACACTTCTAACTTGCCAACAGCAGAAA